ATCTGTACGTTCTGTATGTACTTTTTCTACAATTTACGTGCTGTTTATAAAAGGTAATAAAAAGCTGAAAATATTGTATGTATTTTATTTTTTCATTTTTTAGGTTAGAACAATGTCTCAACGAAAAACATTTAATTACAACTGGATTGATGAAAAACTTGCTCCAGTACAGTGGAAAAAGTATTTGAAGTCGGTAGAAAAAAATAAATATCAGGCACATTGTTGTTTATGTTATAAAACATTTGAATTAAGCAATATGGGTCGACGTGCTGTTTCCAGCCATTTTAATAGTGCAGCACATGTTAAACGGCATAAAGCCATTGAAAAAAACAATAATTTGCAAACAGTTCTTCAAGAAAATAGACAAACACAGAAATTGCTCATTTGAGAAAAAATATTTAAGGAAATGTTGTCCACATCCTATAATAAATATATTAAAGTTATATATTTGTTATTCAGTGAAATCTATTTTTATTGTTTTTTGTTGTATTTATTGACATTTCTGTTAAATCTCTTGTTAGATATTTATATTTGTTAATATTTAACATCATATATGTTTAATGCTGAATTAAATATTTTTAATAAAATTAAAAAAAATTTCATTTTTGGATTAACCTGATACACAGGAAATTCCAAAAAATACTTGTAAGTTTTATCAATGTATACATCAACAATATATAAACTATGTAGAATAGTAATGGGGAATAATTAAGATATGATAATGCAATTAATTGATTATTTAATATTACAGTTGTATCCAGTTATTAATAATGGCTGTTCATCCATCAACCAATATATTGTAATAAATCCTGACCCTCATTTCTCCTAATATTAGTAGAGTATTAAAATATATTGATTACGAATAATCGATTAATGATTATTCTGTTTGTAGATACAATTAATGAAAAGCTGCACTGGACTCAATCAAATGTAAAATTACTTCTTAGTTGCTATGAAGAATATAAACACCAATTTGAAGACAAGTCCACATCTAACAGGAAGATATGAAACTTAATTTCAGAACTAATGGTGAAGAAAACTGGATATGCGGTGACACCAGAACGGTGCGAAAATAAATTTAAGAATATGAAAAAAAAAATTGTTGACACATAGTGGCAGGGGAGCTATTGACTGGGAGTATTATGATTTAATGGATACCCTTTCTAGAAAAAAACCCTCTCTACATGTAGTAGCCTGGAAGGATCATCGACAAATGAGTCACTGATGGTAAATTTATATATTTTTCTTTTATTAATATTTAGTGTTTTTTTTTAGTAGTCAAATAAAGAAAATTTGGATATTTCCAATTAAGCTAATAACTTGAACATTCGTACTACCTCCACCAGCACCAAAGCACAAAATAGGAAAAGAAAAATCAGTGAAAGCCGGTGAAGAACCAATATAGTTTGAAAGATATAGGGAGGAGGCTCAACAACGCCACAGAGAAAGAATGGAAAAACGGGATCAATTATTACAGATTGTAACGAACCTTTATTAATTTAACCGAAGTAACGATGAACTATTATCTAGCCGACCTCCCACACATGTGATTGAGTAGTGTTGATCGGCAATTTTCCTTCCGTCTGAGAACAGAGCGTTGGTCCCTGTCCCGCCAATTCTCAGCACTCTCCAGATCCTTTCCTTCCGTCTGAGAACAGAGCGTTGGTCCCTATCCCGCCTGTTCTCAGCGCTCTCCTTATCCGTCCGTCCGGGAACAGAGCGTCGGCCATTTTCTCGCCTGTTCTTGGAACCCCGTTTCCCTGAAACTTCGAAGGTTGGTCCCTGTCCCTCTCGAAGTTCCTGACTCGTCCGGTTTCCCTAGCAGCCGAATCGCGAAAAGCTTAGTTTTCCATTTTCCGAAATTTCACCGAAAGTTAATACCGACGAGGGATCAAGACCCCTGGTGTACACTTTTCTCCACTGCTGTTACCCGGACGGTGACATTTTTGTGGGACATCCGGGTCTCACACAGAAAGATCGTCATATATTTAATGGCGCCCGAGCAGAGACCGATTTGATTTAAAGAAAAGAAATAAAAATTGTTTTCCTAAGGTTTTGGGATACACCGAGCACGAAACTACTGTTGTTTACGTGTCTCCAAAACTGCCTCTTATTTGGAAATTCCGAATATTCCAGAGGACTCCTGTGAGCTCCTGAAGCCCGAATCCGTGCTTTTCTACAAAAAGCCAAACTTTGCCGAAGTTTCCCGAAGTCACCCGAAATCGAGTGAGGAGTCTAGATCAAGGTAAGTAATTTGAGCCAAGGAAGCGTTTCCGACCACTCCCGAAAAGATCCGACCATTAACGAACGGGCTACGGTAGACAGAATCGCCGTAACTAAGGATTTACGAATTCTAACAGTAGTGCAGTATGCAACATGCAACAAAATGAATACCGAAGGCGACGAAGGTGCCGTTGGCCTTGAAATAGCTGACCCTAAAATAGGCTGGATATATAAGTTGAATAAGGAAGGTCTAGTACTGGAATTACGACGACTGAATTTGCAGACCGATGGAACAGTAGATGAGCTATGACACTATATTCTCAGAAATTTAATGACGAGAAAACTATAAAATCGCAACTTTGGTTGAAAATTGCTGAAGAAATGAACCTTAAGGGTTACTGTGTTGGAGAAGGAAAAGAAGAAATCGAAAAGTGTAGACTTAAGTTTGCTAATCTACAAAAGCAATATTTAAATCATATGAGACATATGAAAACAACAGGCGAAAGACACAAGGATCCGCCACCTTTTTTTGAATTAATGCATACTATTCTAGGGGGAAAAGATAAAGTTGATCCTGCAAATACACAAGACTCATTAGATGAAGTAGATGATGAAAATTCAAACAATGAATCATCTAAAAGTCAAACAAAAAACCGATTTAACTCTGAAAATAAATCGGTAAAATCCAAAAGTGCTAATACTCAACTCATAAACCTTCTCAAAGAACAGTATGAATCTGACAGAAAAAAAAGACAAGATCATTTGAAATCAATTGAAAACTTATTTAAAACACAAAATGAGCAGAGAGAGAGATTACGTAATCAATTTGAAAGATATGTGGACATCCAGTCCCACAAAAGAAAACGATCTGATTCTGAGTAGTATGTAAATATTTTTTAAGAAGTACGTAAATATTTTTAATGTTATATTATTTATCTTTTGTTTTTCCGTTTTAAGTTCACAGTTTATTCATTAAAATAATGCAAAAAAAGATAGCGTTTTAGTACATTTAATTAAAACACAACCCCATTTTAATTCCCCTACAATCTGTAATTCTAATACAGCTGATATACAGTAATTATTTTTAAGTAATTTGCTATTGGAATATCAAGTATTAAAGAAACAATTGTCTCACTGGTGTACAGATTTTTAATACCTACGTCAAATAATAATTTAACTACCTGTGTAATGAATATGCCTCAAATAATTTTAGACAAGACTCGTGAATTACTTAGCTGTTTCATATCAGAACATAACACTAATAAAAAAAGCTTATGAGAAAACAAGATGAAATATAACTTAAATTACCCATTCAAAGCAAGTGTAAATAAAATTTTTATTGATTCAAAACTGATATACAATACGATTATAATAATAAGCTCTGTGCTATTTCATTTCTTTTTCGTTCTCCCATTCTGTATGCAACTCTACAGGGTGTTTCCTAGGTAGATGTAATGATTTTAAGGGGTGGTAGGTGGGGCTGTTTCCTACCCATTGCACCACTTTTAGCCTAGTCCAAAGTTGACTGTTTTTTTAATTTTTAATTTTGTATTTTTTCAACTCTACCCAAAAATTGACCTATGATTATTAATTTGTTCATCTTATAACGGTGGTATAAAACTGAAACAAAGTTATTTACCAAGAACGATGTTTGAGCCACTATAAAAAAAATATTGGTTAAATCTAAAGTTTAAAAAAAGTGAAATGTGACATTTCAAAATCAAGGTAACCTACGAAAAAGAAGTCAATATTAAATTTTGAAGCACATTATTTTATTGAATTAAAGGTTCCTAGATTTTCAAATTATTTTAAAAACTTCCTTAACTACCGTTCTTCCTAACGGTATAATAATACCAATAACAGGATGTAAAAAATATTAAAACAGCGATTTTATTAACAAAGGTACCATTTATGCAAAGGTCAAATAAAATAAAACAATAAGGTAAGTAAAATTATTATTATTATTATTCATGGAATTTGTTCAAAATTACTCCCTTGATTCCTTATACAAGCTCTAATCCTCTTTCTGATTTCCACTGTCGTTGTTTTAAGCCGCATTTCTTCTTTAATTTTTGTGAAAGCGTAATATATTTTATTTATAAGATGGTCTCGATTTCTTATCTCCTCGTCGTAAACCAAAGCCTTTGCACGTCCCCATACATAATAGTCGAGCGGTGTTAAGTCAGAGGAGCGTGGTGGCCATGGAATGGGTCCAGCTCTTCCAATCCATGCGTTGGGAAACGATGAATTTAAAAATTCCCTTACAGACAAGCGGTAGTGTGCAGGGCAGGTTTAGAGCTAGTATAAGCAATCAAGGGAGTCATTTTGAACAAATTGAATAATAATAATAATAATAATAATAATAATAATAATAATAGTANCAAAGGAACTGCTATTACAGAAAAAACAGCAAAAGGATATGGAACAGGTCAACCCTAATACTCAAGGAGATGCGACTGATGCAATACTGCTTAACATTCCGGACAATGAAAACATCGATGAAAACTTCCCTATTTTTATAAATTTATAGAACTGATATTAAATACTCATTAATTTAACTGGGTTTTTTATTTAACTGAAATATAGTAAGTACTATGCTACAGTTTATGAATGAAGAACATTCTATACTTGATAAAAAGATATATGTAATACAGTCTAAATGCAAACAGCATCTTACTTAGTATTAACCGTGAATTATTCTTGCTATTGCATCTCTTCTCAGTTGTCCTCTCTGACGCACAACTGCCTCACCATAATCTACATTGATCTGTAAATCATCACCATTATTGTTGGCATCTTCAAAAATTTCAAAATCTTCATCGTTGAGGTGTTTTGCAATATTATGCAAAATAAAGCAGCTTAATACAAGAGACGGAACTTTTCCTGTATTTACTCGAATTTTGTTTTGCAATATAGGAAAGCGCTGTTTAACTTGGCCAAAACACCTTTCTATTATAACACGTTCTCGAGTAAAACATCTATTATATGTAATTTGCTCAGGAGTGACAGGGTCTCTGTATGGAGTCATAAGCCACGGGGTAAGTCCATAACCTGAATCTCCAAGAAGAAGTGCACTAGCTGTATTCCACCGCATGATATTAAAAATGGCAGAATTTCTCCATATGCGTGAGTCATGAACGGCTCCTGGCCAAGACGCATCGACACTTGTAAACTCCTCTCGGACGTTGCACGTTGCCTGAACGTTTAGACTGCAGAACCCCTTTCTGTTGACATACTCATCTCCGTGTACAGCCGGTTTAATGATAGGAATGTGAGTGCAGTCTATCGCACCGATAGCAGAAGGAAAATTATACTTTTCTTGCCATTTATGTTTCTCTTGCTCTAACGCTTCAGTAGTTGACGGAAACTGTATCCATATATTTGATTTTCGTATTATAGCATCTATTACTGATGAAACTGTTAATGATACCGTTGATTGGTGCACCCCAATGTCCTCACCTACGCCACTTTGAAATCCCGGGTCGCCGACATAACGAAGAAAAATTCTCATCTTCTCAGTGGTCGTTAGAGCACCACCTCTGTTTTCAAACTCATCTCCCAGGAAATGTTGAGCAAGCCATTCTACGTTATTTCTGTTAAATCGATACAAAATTCGATAGTCGGTATCCCGAGAGTCTCTTCGAACCTTATAATACTTTCTTGCACGAGCAATAGGCATAAATTCGGCCATTATTTCCGAAAGCACAGTTATTACTGATGCTGAGCTTCCTACCAAGGTACCTTAAATTATTGTGAGTAGTTGCTTCATTTGTGTAGCATATACTTACTTTTATTCATACCGAAACTTAAGTAGGCACTCAGTGTTAAGTAGATACTTACAAAACTAGCAGGTGCTCCATTGCTAAGCATCTCCTCTACGATTTTATTAATACCAAATGAAGAACCCACTCCAAAATTTGAAGTAAAAAGTATGTGCTTAATTTTATTAATACCACCCAATGTCTCAACGAAAAACGACATTTAATTACAACTGGATTGATGAGAAACTTGCTCCAGTACAGTGGAAAAAGTATTTGAAGTCGGTAGAAAAAAATAAATATCAGGCACATTGTTGTTTATGTTATAAAACATTTGAATTAAGCAATATGGGTCGACGTGCTGTTTCCAGCCATTTCAATAGTGCAGCACATGTTAAACGGCATAAAGCCATTGAAAAATACAATAATTTGCAAACAGTTCTTCAAGAAAATAGACAAACACAGAAATTGCTCATTTGAGAAAAAATATTTAAGGAAATGTTGTCCACATCCTATAATAAATATATTAAAGTTATATATTTGTTATTCAGTGAAATCTATTTTTATTGTTTTTTGTTGTATTTATTGACATTTCTGTTAATTCTCCTGTTAGATATTTATATTTGTTAATATTTAACATCGTATATGTTTAATGCTGAATTAAATATTTTTAATAAAATTAAAAGTATTCATGTCATTTATTTGTCATCAAATGGTCCCATTTATACCTTATCATTTGACTTGTTTTTATTTTGGTTTAAGTTTTTAAAAATATAAATTTCGTTTGCTTTTTGTCACGGAATTGAATTTTTTAAAAATGTCAGGGAAAACCTGGAAATGTCAGGGAATTTGGTTTTGAAAAATTGCTGAGAACCCTGAACCAGCCTTCGGCGATCCCTGACAATCCGGCCGACCAAATATTAGAGACCGAACCCGTCACCCCGGATTTTACCCGGAATTTCGAAAAATCCGGTGTCAACTCGTACCTGGCTTGTGACCCCTCGTTTAGCAGTAACTCCCGAACTAATCAAGCGTTGAGGAGATAGCACCTGGATAGTTGGTTCTAAGACCGCAGACCGAACAGACGTGCCAACTGGAGAATTCCGCAGCCATCACCACACCGAGAGCAGAAGGACACATGATGTCAAACGAAGAAACCCGAATCCTGACCGACCCTGAACCACCCGTAGAAGCCGGAAGCTCCGACTTCGCAGATTTCCGACTGAGCTGGATATAGAAGCTCAGAAAGGAGCAACTGGACATGGAACTGGAGAAATTTCGCCCAGACGTCTCTGGGACCGTAGAAGAGAAGAAGAGACGACTGGTAAGGTTCATTACAGACGGATGTGCATCTCCGCAACCAAGCCACACCGCCCCCGCTTTCGTCGTACCACCGCCACCGCCGCTTGTCGTCCTGACCACAGCAAGTTGACCGCTGGTCAGCAACCCTTCTGCCCCGCTCAGCATTAGTACACTATTCGAGAGAGTGAGGAAGTGGAACCTGCACTTCAATGGAAGGACCGATCCCGTGGAGTTTTTGGAGAAGCTCTGTGAATTCCAGGAACACAGGGACATGGGAATGGGATGACGCCCTGTACCAGGTCGTCTCCGCCGTCGGTCCCGTTGGCGTACTCCCGACAGACAGATGGAGGTACCGATATCAAACCGGGGACGGGAGAACCGAATGGGTGACAGTGTGGCCCCGGGAAAAATAGCACCCGAACCTAAGAAAAAAACAATTATATTTTCTTTTCCGTCCTCTTTATTTTGTTTATTATTGTAACTTATAAAGCATTAGGAATAAAACTTATTTTATAAAAAGATGATTTTTTTATTTTCCAGACGGAAATCTTCTTTCAGATAGAGGCACCATGTGTCCCAGGCCGACCAGGATTTAGTCTTATTAGCGCTGGAAGACGCGCTGCAGTAAGATACTGACCAACCCGGACCGTCACGGAACATCTCCAAGGAAATCACGACCAAACAGTCCAGGGAACTATCCCACACCGTCCCTATGGAATGGAAGTTGCCGAACTCCCCCACCGAAACGCCGCTCATAGTAACCCCGCAAACACAGCCCGATTTGGGTATTCAACCCATATCCTCCCAAGCAGTTACCGTGGTTACTGACTCACTAGAGGTAACATCCGAGATAATCCACCAAGTTTAGGCCAAGTGGGAGGATCCGCAAACGACCTCACCACCAACCCGCCGAGATTGTCCACTTTATTTACCCGTGGATCGTTGGGAGTTATGTTGGAGATGTGGCTATCCTGGCCATTCCCGCCAAACCTGCACCCGGACACGACGCCTGTTTTGTCCCCGATGTGGAAGATACGGCATAATGTCCAAAGATTGCACATGCAAAAACCGCCCGCATGCCACCCCAGCCGAAGCCGTCTATCCGTAGGTCCTCAACACCGTTTCCGCTCGCATCCAGGACACTTGGCCGCATCCAGAGAAGTGCAATGTTATTTCCCGGACATTTTCCGCCGAACCGAAACCGCTTCTAAGGGCATCCAATGCAACTTGCTGCCGTAAGTCCGAAAGACCGACCAGACCAGAATTACCGTTTTTGTTTCATTTGTATGTTTCTTTCTTTTCTAGGGCAAATTATTGTACAGTACCGAAAGCTGCAGTGAATCAGATTTTCGTTTGTATAGAATCCAAAAATTTCATTTTTGGATTAACCTGATACACAGGAAATTCCAAAAAATACTTGTAAGTTTTATCAATGTATACATCAACAATATATAAACTATGTAGAATAGTAATGGGGAATAATTAAGATATGATAATGCAATTAATTGATTATTTAATATTACAGTTGTATCCAGTTATTAATAATGGCTGTTCATCCATCAACCAATATATTGTAATAAATCCTGACCCTCATTTCTCCTAATATTAGTAGAGTATTAAAATATATTGATTACGAATAATCGATTAATGATTATTCTGTTTGTAGATACAATTAATGAAAAGCTGCACTGGACTCAATCAAATGTAAAATTACTTCTTAGTTGCTATGAAGAATATAAACACCAATTTGAAGACAAGTCCACATCTAACAGGAAGATATGAAACTTAATTTCAGAACTAATGGTGAAGAAAACTGGATATGCGGTGACAACAGAACGGTGCGAAAATAAATTTAAGAATATGAAAAAAAAAATTGTTGACACATAGTGGCAGGGGAGCTATTCACTGGGAGTATTATGATTTAATGGATACCCTTTCTAGAAAAAAACCCTCTCTACATGTAGTAGCCTGGATGGATCATCGACAAATGAGTCACTGATGGTAAATTTATATATTTTTCTTTTATTAATATTTAGTGTTTTTTTTAGTAGTCAAATAAAGAAAATTTGGATATTTCCAATTAAGCTAATAACTTGAACATTCGTACTACCTCCACCAGCACCAAAGCACAAAATAGGAAAAGAAAAATCAGTGAAAACCGGTGAAGAACCAGTATTGTTTAAAAGATATAGGGAGGAGGCTCAACAATGCCACAGAGAAAGAATGGAAAAACAGGATCCATTATTACAGATTGTAACGAACCCTCATTAATTTAACCGTTAAGTAACGATGAACTATTATCTTTTCCTATGTTAGTAATGTAAGCCCTGAATGCTGGATTTATTGTGGGTCTCTGTACTAACATCCGACGAACCGTTCATCTATGTCACAAATCGGCTATAAAAGCCGACCTCCCAGACATGTGATTGAGTTGTGTTGATCGGCAATTTTCCTTCCGTCTGAGAACAGAGCGTTGGTCCCTATCCCGCCAGTTCTCAGCACTGTCCAGATCCTTTCCTTCCGTCTGAGAACAGAGCGTTGGTCCCTGTTCCGCCTGTTCTCAGCGCTCTCCTTATCCGTCCGTTCGGGAACAGAGCGTCGGCCATTTTCCCGCCTGTTCTTGGAACCACGTTTCTCTGAAACATCGAGGGTTGGTCCCTGGCCCTCTCGAAATTCCTGACTCGTCCGGCTTCCCGAGTAGCCGTCAACCTGAGTAGAACGCCGAATCGCGGAAAGCTTAGTTTTCCATTTTCCGAACTTTCACCGAAAGTTAATACCGACCAGGGATCAAGACCCCTGGTGTACACTTTTCTCCGCTGCTGTTACCCGGACGGTGACTTTTTTGTGGGACATCCGGGTCTCACACAGAAAGATCGTCACATATTTAATGGCGCCCGAGCAGAGACCCATTTGATTTAAAGAAAAGAGAGAAAAATTGTTTTCCTAAGGTTTTTGGATACACCGAGCACGAAACTACTGTTTACGTATCTCCAAAACTGCCTTTTATTTGGAAATTCCGAATATTTCAGAGGACTCCTGTGAGCTCCTGAAGCCCGAATCCGTGCTTTTCTACAAAAAGCCAAACTTTGCCGAAGTTTCCCGAAGTCACCTGAAATCGAGTGAGGAGTCTAGATCAAGGTAAGTAATTTGAGCCAAGGAAGCGTTTCCGACCACTTCCGAAAAGATCCGACCATTAACAAACGGGCTACGGTAGGCAGAATCGCCGTAACTAAGAATTTACGAATTCTAAGGGTAGTGTGCAGTATCCATAAGAGGAAATAGGTTCATTTGCAACAAAATGAATACCGAAGGCGACGAAGGTGCCGTTGGCCTTGAAATAGCTGACCCTAAAATAGGATGGATATATAAGTTGAAAAAGGAAGGTCTAGTACTGGACCGTTTGACTTTGATCTTCTGAATCAAATCCGAAAACTAAACGTTATGTTTGATGGAAAAGCCGATCCAGTCTCATTTCTAGAAAGATTTGAGTAACTACAAGAGGAATATGGCATAACCGATCATCAGCTTTTGAGGACGCTGCCGGGTTTACTTCAAGGCAGAGCCAATCAATGGTATATGAACTATAAGAGCCAATGGAAAATTTTTTATGATTTCCTTGAAGATTTTAAAATTTTCTTTTACCCACTGGATTACCGTGACCATAAGGAAGTCATTAGTAGAACATATCAGAACCGTCAGACCAAAGCCAAAGATTTCATTTTGGACATGTAGACCATGATACGACGCCATGGAGGTTTCTCTAGAGAAAGAGAACTAACGTGCATTTATCGACGGCTCAGATAAGAATACCGGCAGTATATCCAC